GAGTCCACTGGGCGACTAGCTGCCCCGTGGGAGCTCCTAGGATCTGCCTTCAAAAGAAAACTCTCCAGTTGTTGGTTATGCTGGTTGCCCACACGGGAGGCCAAGAAAGAGATAATTCAATCCAACCTTCCAGATAGAACACCATCCCTGGCTTTTGCGAAAAAAAAACACCCAAACCAATTTAGGATGAGGTTTCCATTACAAAGAAATGTCCAAAAAAAAAAAAAAAGTTCAGGAAGCCTGTGTGCTTTGGGTTTTTATTATTATTATTATTATTATTATTATTGTTACTATAACTTTCAATTCCTGGAAACTGCGTAACCCAACTAAGAAACCAACACATTTACCAACATAGCTATAACCCCTACCAAGTAAAAGGCCCAATTAGACCAAAGGTGACTATAAACTGTTATTATCAGCAGGTTAAGCAACGAAAGGAGCGTGGAATCCCAGGCCAAGTCCCTTCATTTTCCCTAGTCAGTTCCAAAGAAAATTGCCAACTGCCTTTCTCCCTGACACAGGAGTACGGGCACCTGCAGGTCTCAACAGGAATGAAAACCAAAATGGAAAATGGCCTTGTCTCTCTCCTCCTCACTCAAGAGAAAGAACCACTCCTGAAGCACAGATCTTGATAAAGCTGCCTCGCTATCAATTCCTTCTAGTTCAGCAGTCAACCTGAACTTTGTCAATCATGGTTTCCCAAGAAACTCTTCAGAAACATGAGTCGCTGAAACACAAGTTTGAGGTAATAAAAATCACCTGGGAAAAAAAGGGACACGCAGGTCTACTCATCTGCTGCCAGATAACCCGTAAAGGTACCTCGTACTGAGGGAGGCAAGGGCTAATTAAGTTATGCTTTCCGATGCTGAAGTATAAACTCTGAAGCCTTCAAAACCTTCAACCTGGATGCATTTCAAAAATTAGCATTTGAAATTGCAACTTTCTGTCCGGAGAAAGTCTGTTTCACTAAAGGGCATATGTAAGAAGCATTATTTCCTGGCAGCTAGGCTTGTGATGACATCACAGAATTGTTCCGCTCAGGGAAACAGTCAGGCGCGGGTAAGGTGTGAGGTCATCAGTTAGTCAGCTGCTAAAATATGACCCGAGAATGCCCTTGACATCTGTGATGGAAGGGCTTGACTTAAAAGGCAAAAGCAAAGTCAGGTCAATCAAATCAGCCCATTGCAGGGATTTTCAAAGCATGTGCAACAGGATGTTAGTACAGTGCTGTATTTTAAAAAGGGTCTTACGGTCAATGCGTTTGGAAAACCCTGGGAAAAGCCAAAATTAAACAGATGTTTTACTACAGAACGTTGGAGAGAACGTATTCTGCTGGTGCACCGGGTAAGTCTCTAAGAAAGAGTCAGAGAGTAAGAGGTATTTTTCAAACTCATTTCAAAATACAACTCATTCTTGGCACAGAGCCCTTGGACTAGGGTTCCACGGGATATACTTTGAGAAGCACCAGCTTCTTCTCTTAAGGTACAGGCCAGACCTGAGCATTACTCTGTTTGTAAAGCGCCAGTAAAAGATGTAGAGGAGGACTGTAATTCCAAAAAACATTCGCTCAGCATCGAGGCCAGTCCTTGCCTCCAACAGTGGTCTACCAGGAAAGGCGGGTCTGAGATGCATCGTGATGCTGAGATGCGAGGGAATAGAACACGTGAAGCGATAAGGAAACCCCTTATGGGGGAACCCACCTTTGAGCTGGGTCGTGTACCAATGGTGTAAGCGTTAAGGTCAACCCGAATACGGCAAAACAGCCCTCTGAAAGTCAGACCAGACCTACTTTCATGGCCCATAGCCAACGATCCTGCCTTAATTTTGGACTTATTTTTGCCCCTGTATTGGACTGCCATGCTTTCTGTAGTCTGTACATATTTTCGGAACTCTACCAGGCAGATAAAAGCTTGCCTTCTCACAGCTAACCACCAAAATTAAAAAAAAAAAAAAAAAAAAAAAAAAAAAAAAAAAAAAAAAAACAAAAAAACAAAACTTAGAAAAGTCCACAAATGTCACTGTCAGCACAGGGTCACCGGAGCATCATCTGTTAACTTCACCGAAGAGGAGCTTTCAAACACACCCCAGTGACGTCTCCAGACAATCAGAAGGCACCGAAGGAATCAATCTGGACCCACGGGTGTTTTCTAGGTGCCTGAAAACGCATGGAATTCGGCGCTTCTATAATTTTTCCTATTAATCAGGTCAGGAATTTGACACTGGAGGTGGCAAAAAATTGTTTTAATGGCAACATCCCCTTCCCCGCCTTGCCAATTACCCTGGCCGTGGCATTCCTCTGTCCACACAGGCCACAGCTGCTTAATCTCCACTGCCCCAGGCTGCACCTGTGAATCAGACCAGCCTAATCACACTAACAGATGGCAGAGGCCAAGTAGCCAGCTAAGAGCTGCTATCACTTTAAATCGTGTCTAATGTTTCACAGGCACCAAACAGAGGCAGCTCCCGACAGCAGTGTCTCCCTGGTACAGCTAACACCAGCCCTTAATCACCGCAGAGCACCCACTGCAGGGCAGACGTGGTGTCATTCGAGAGCTAATTACAAAGAACGCTGGCCACAGGGTGAAGGCATGGCATTCGTCAAGTGCGCTCCACTCCCTGGCCCGTCTGCGCAGGCACCGGGCGGTTGGGACCCGTGTTCGGGACGAAACCCTGGAGGTCCATGGCAGGTAATCCCTCGCAATCACCAGAAAGTTCACTCAGTTCACTCAGTCTACTTGTTACGTAACCCATACCTTGCTGTTACATTTTACGGCTTCCCAAGTATTCCTGGGAACAGGCTCTCAGACGTGGTTCTGTTCACCAGGACGAGGCAGGTTCCAGGCCGGCCAGCACAACCCGGGTGCTGCCAGATTTGGACATCCCACACGTGGGCCCCACCTGAGAGCCGTCAACAACAGTGCTGGCATCCTCCCTGCACCCCCACCCCCATATCGTCACCCTGGGGACTGGCAGGGGGGGTGCCGTGATTCAACACGCCACAGGCCTGCAAGCGAATGGCGGCTTTGCCTTTTGCTCACCAAATCGTGAGTTTCCAATCAAGAAAACAGGAATAATAGCTCCCTCCACCTTATGGGGTCGTTGGGGGCACTGCCCGAGCCAGCAACCGGCACCGAACCTGCCCAAAGCCACACCTCCAAAGCAGGGTCATTCACTGCCTTCCCGGCCAGAGCCAAAGAACTAACAAGGAGTGATGTCTTCTGATGTCCCAATGATGCGTTATTAAAAAAATAACCATAATAACTTCCCAAGAAGGTTGGTACAAATCACAGCAGAAGACAGTTTCACTCACCCACAGTTTTATAAACAAGAGCGCACACGGCTCAAGGCAGATCTCAAGGTGTGAATCCCTAAGTCGGTGCTTTTCATTCTTCAGCGCACATGAGAATCATCCCCGGAGTTTCCAGTCCGGGGTCTGGGGTGGGGCTTTGGCCTTTTCATTTCTAGTAAGTTCTTAGACGATGCTGATGCTCGTGGTCCAGAACCCAAGCCTCCTCTTGCCAAAACAATGAAAACTATAAATGTTTCCCTTTTTGCCTAAGCTGCTAGGAGACTGGAACAAATGCAACTTCCCATTTGACACATTATCCCAGGTCCCTAACAGTATCCATTTTCTCTTCTTGTCTTCAAAAGCCCTGCCTATTTTCATAACTAACTTTCTTATTATTTAAGCCTTGTAAGAATTTATTAAACTAAGGTCCTTTTGAAAACACGCAGAACAGAACACCTAAGCAAAGAACGCCAGCAACTAATGTACAAGCACTTGGGGAACATTCAAGCCATGTTACTGGAAATGTAACTAACGCTACATTTTATCTTTTGTACTGAACGTCGCGACCCACACTTTTCTGAGCGCCCTACAAACACAAACTTGTCTGATGCTCGTAACAACCCCACGGGATGTTATTATTCCCATTTTACAGTTGAAGAAGCCAAGGCAGAGAGGTGAAATTACTTGCCCAGGGTCACCCCCACTTAGAGGTGTCAGAGTAAGAGAGGCCGAGTTCTTCTTCACCCAGGTTCTCCCACGTGTCACTGCTCCGTGTTAACAGCCTTTGAAAAGCAAACAGTACTTGCTGGCTCCCTGCTCTGTCACTGTCTACAAAGCAAGGCCCCCTTCCCTTATTTCCTCTCAGCATGCAGCAATGTCCGAAAAGGTCACGGTTTCTCGAGGCGCCTGGGGGGCTCAGTGGGTTAAGCGTCCGACTTCGGCTTAGGTTGTGATCTCGTGGTCCGTGAGTTCGAGCCCCGCCTCGGGCTCTGTGCCGACAGCTCGGAGCCTGGAGCCTGCTTCGGATCCTGTGTCTCCCCCTCTCTGCCCCTCCTCCACTCACGCTCTGTCTCTCTATCTCTCAAAAATAAATAAATGTTAAAAAAAAAAAAAAAAGGCCCCAGTTTCTCAACCTCAGCCCTACTGACATTTTAGACCAGATCCTTCTTTGTTAAGGGCTGTCCTGTACATTGCAGGATGTTTACTAGCAGTACCCCTCGCTTCTGCCCACTGGAGGTCACTGGCATTCTTCCTCCCCCTACTGAGACCACCAAGTGTTGCCCAATGTCCCCCAGGGGAGTCAGAAGCAGGAGAATCCCCCCGCCCCCCACCCCGGCTGAGAACCACGGAGTTAAGCCAAGCACCATCAAAGGTTACAAAGAAGACCAGGGTGGTATGTGTTTTCTACTCGTATCACGCCTCCGAACAGTGAGAAACCGGAGAGAAAACGAAATTCGAGGACAGAAAACTAGGAACTGCTTTCGAGAAAGAGTGACTTGTGACACAATAAGAAAGGACAAACGGTAGAGAAGGGTACACAGGAACACTGGTTTATTCTCAGATTAGAAAGCCAGGAGAGGAGACACAGCGGAGAAAAGTCAAGGGCCGCAGGGCACAGTGTTCTGAAGAGTGGACAAGATGGCAGGTTAGAGTCCGGACTTCCCACCAGGCTTTGCTCTCTCGGGGACCTTCCGAGACGGCCATTACTTACTCTTGTTACTGTTCTCACTGACAAAATCCTCGGAGCCTTCTGTGTCGTCCTCATCATCTCCGGATGAGATGGCATCTGTATTCAAAAGAATATATCCATGGTTGTGTTTTTGCAAAGCAAAAGGCTGTAATCACGTACAACTTAGTCCTTCTGGACAGGGAATGCCACAACCCAGGAGCCCCCGCAAAAAGTCTGAGGTCTTGTTTAGTGAAGATGGCTTTAAGGGCTTCAATTTTCTCTCCGTGAGGACAGTTGGTCTGTATTAGGATTCCCAGTGCTTTCTGCTTTCACGTTTTTTAAACATACTGTCAAGTTGGATATATTAAAACTGGATTTTAAGCTTCCAACAGTATTCAAGGCCCCGGCAAATTTGCTGATTGCGTTATTATCCAAAGATTCTTTCCGACACCACCTTTCAGTTGTCAGGATCCCCTTCAAGAAGGGAATTAGTCCCCGGCAGAATTTACTAACTTCTGAAAGCAAATCTTTAAACTTGGCCAGAAAGGGGGCCTCCATCTAGTTCCCCCTCGCTGCATGGGAGAAAAATCAAGGAGAGAAACTCGAGTTTTAATAAAAGGAACCCGAAATCTTCCATATCAAACTGCAATCCTGTATTCTAACGGCCAAAGATGCAAACAGTGTGGGGGGGGG